CCCCATCGACTAGGAACTCCCCACAAGCAAACAACTCCTGGCGAACAAGGACTCCAGTTAGTCGGGGCTCCCTTCGGGCGTAAAAACCTGGCTCGCGAGACAGATGCAAGGGCAGGATGGCTCAGCAGCCAAGATTGGCAGGCGACACGTGAAGGCTGCTGCTTCACATGCACTTGCGCCGGAAAGAACTGCTGCAAACCTTCGTCATCAAGTTTGCGGCAAGAAAGTGAATCTAAGCACAGCGGAAAACGAAGATCGGAGGAACTTGAGCGGATCCCACGATCAAAACAAACATGATTGCAACCCTCTGAAACAATCGAAGAAGCCTGCACGTCCTCAAACCCAAAGCAAGACTCAACCGAACTAGAGTGGGGGTAACCAGCAGAGCACTGGAAGCCGCTCAAGTTGGGGTTCTTGCGACAGGTCAGCGAACTGCAACCTTCAACGACTGAGTCGTGAGCTTCGCGTTCGCCTTCTGTGCAGCTGGCATGAATCGTTCCAAACAGAGAATTCAGCACGCCTGGCTGCTCCACAGAGTGCTGACGGACCAACTCTCCAAGAGATGGCCCCTCAGCAGGCCCATACAAAGAACAAAGGAGACGATCAAGGGCATCAAAATCCTTGGGGTCTCGTTTTAAACTGGAAAACCAAGCAGGTTCAGGAGCATGCGGTTTCCGTAACGGTGTCCCTCGAGTAGGGTCGTCAGCAGGATTGAGCTTACTGGCAATCCAAAAGAAACGAGAAGACAAACGACCCGTGATGACATCAAACAGCATACACTTCAGCTGGTCATTTAAGACCCTACTCGAGGAACGACCTTTCATCACCGAAGCCACTGCTACCTGCGAGTCTCCCCCTATTAGGGGTCGGCTACGAGGGCTGAAATTCGCACAGCGTCGCTCGGCAGCACCAATGCTCTTCAACTCAGACAGGTTGATATGGTCCCTCTGGCTGCATGAACTGACGTGTACTGTTTCAAAACGAAGCGAAGGCACTAATCCCTCAAAGAGCGGAGTGGACGCTTCCTCCAGAAGCTCACCAGCGGGCAACTCTTCCTCCTCAGACAAAAGGCCCCTCTCGCGCAACCAGTTTTGAGCAGGGCTGAGAAGCCGAGCCCACCGACCCTTCTTCAGACAGTGCCTACTAAGTTCCTTGACAACATGAGAAGGGACTTCTGCTTTCACCACTGCAATCTTCTCTGAGCTGGCATCAACCATCTGCATCTCGCTACTAAACCCAGCTCGCAGATCAGCATACATGAACGGAGCCAGAATGCAGAGTGAGAGGAACTCCTGCTTGAGCCTCCGGCTCATCTGAATCACGTCGGTTCTGTCGAATCTTTTGACTGCTTCATAGCAAAGATCAAGCAAACAAAACGATCTACGATGATGCAACACGACAGCACCCCACATTCCCACCAAACTCTCAAGTAATGATACACTAACGCGACCAAGATCAATGCAAGCAGTCGTCAAGCTAACTAAAGCGATGAGCTTCGCCCGAGGGACAGCATGAGTTCCAGCTATGCCATCAGTCTCGCTTCCCCAAACAACAGCTTTAGAAGCCCTACAAACTTCCTTCTTAGGATGACTCTCCAGACCGATGGTGCGGTAGGCCTGCTTCAAGGATTCTAAACACCGGTTCCCTGTAGCAGACTCGGGCGGCGAAAGCGCCAAGGAGAGTCGCCCTTCGAAATCCCTGCAGCCCTTCTCAACTTCAAAAGCAGCAAAATCATCTATGCACAGCCCAGAGGCAAACCCAAGTCTGGGAAAAGGACGCAGTCGGGATATCAAAGATCGGTCAGAGACGCTCCCGGCAACCGTGCAGATGAGGCTATGGGCGGCCTGAGCTATCTCCACTGCTTGAAGATCGCCCATCGCAAGAATCTTCAAACTGATCGCGATGTCAGTGTCTCCAGGCACACGCGGACAACAACTCAAGTGCCTGAGTGCAGACGCTTTCAAAGTCTTCTTGAGAGTGTTTCTTCGCGTTCTGTCCCCAGTCACTACAAAACGATTATAAAAGTCGACGATATCTGAGCTGTATATGGTGAGAACTTCATCACTGTCCAAATGAAGATCCGAAAGGCAAGCGGGGTGTCCCAAGTGTTGAACCCAATGACACAAAGCTCTGTCAAGTCTGTTAGGGGGCCTGGCATCGACTATCAAACGGTCGAGCCCGGCCTCCTTGTAAACCGTAAAAAGGCCAACCCGCTCGTCCCAAGGAGGCAGGTCAGGGTCATCAGCCCTCGAAAGGTGCAACCTTCCGCTGGCATCAAACTTCTCAAGCAGCTTCACAAGCTCGGATTGCGAGGCTTTTACCTCGACCCGCGGGCAGGCCTCAAAAGGAGGCTCGCCGCGAGCAGATCTAGGATCGTTCATGATTTGCCTATGAACACCAGTCAGAATCAGGTCAGCATTGAAGGAAGGGGGACCAGTCACCTTAAGTCTGGAAGAAACGATAGGCCTAGCGCCTTCAACAGGCTCGGAAAAATGCCCCACTTTGACAGTAAGAGGGTCCCTCACCTTCCTTGGACATAACGGGGTCCTGACTGGAAGCTTAAAATCAGAGTACTTGGAAAAATGCGCGGAAAACTCAGCGGTCAAGGCTTCAAGCTTTCTCAAGACACAAGACGTGGCTCGAAACTTGTCTTCAGCCCTACCAAGTTCGTCAGCACTCCGGGCCTCTTCCCCATGCCAAGCTTGCAGCACCGCCAAGACATGCTCAAGTCTACGGCGCTGGTCGGCCGTGGCAGGGCCTGCAAGCCTCCAAAACTTAGGAACCTTCGACGGCGAGCCAGCACCCAGCCAGTTCAAAACTAGCACAGTCAGATTCGCAAGACGCTTATCCGAAGGATGCGCTTTCCGTTTGGCTCGATAAATCTCAGGGTAGGGCAGAGGAAGAAATTCGGTTACTGGGGATCCACCTTGCGAGGCAGATGTATCGCAGCTTTCAGGAAAACCCGGACCCTGCTCACGTACAGCATGAGCAGCGTCCCGAAGAAAAGAAGTCAACTTTGCTCCGCCTGTGTGGGCCAAACTGTACAAAACTCCACTGAGCGAGGCAGGCGTTTGCAAGAGTTTCTCACCACTGTGGCCGTACCTCTGTTTCCAAGTTGTTTCAAAGCCTTCTCCAGGAAAGCCGAGGGTAGCGTCAAACTGACGGCTTCGAGTGGCAAGACACCTCCAAAGACAGCAAGAAGTTTCAAAGTTGGCACCTAGACAACCCTTCACAAGACTCCCGACTTTGCTTTTGCTTTCGGGCGCGGTCGTCGTCTGGAGCCCTGCTGGTGCGCGTCGGCTTCGTCCGTGCCAGTGCCAGCAGCAGGAGAAGGGTCGCTCGGAGGCAACAGAGGTGCTTGGCGTCGGCGCCCTAAGGCAGTAGCCCGATGCTGTTCCCAGGCAATCCTGTCTTTGAGATGCCCAAGCACCACTTCGCCCCATACGTCCGATGCGATCGCAGGCCAGAGGATTCCACCTTGGTCGGGCAGTCGAGAGTGCAGCACAGGGGGCGCATCCTCGAAGAGTAGCTCGGCAGCCATTGGTGTATGGCCGCCGTCCAAACACACTTGTTCGCCATAAACCATGCCGAGAGCCACTCTGGCGCGGGCTTCTTCGATCCTTCCAGACGTTAGGGCTTCCCCGATTCCAGAAAGAATCCAGAGCCATTGCTGAGTGGGGCGATGGCCGGAGACGAAAGCCCTGTGTTCCACGTAAGTTCTGTAAGGGACTGTGCCTCCTGAGCTTCCTGCCGAGGACGGAGCCGACGCAGACCTGACTATTTCGCTGACCTTGCGCGACACTTCTGCCTCGACGTGAGATGCAAAATGCATCGGCTGGTCCCGCAAAGCTCCTCTCAAAGCGAGACGGGCTTGGGCGTTCTTTCTCGAGGGTCCAGCTGCCGAAACTCCCGCAGAATCCGAAGAGCCTGCCGAAACAGCCAAGTTCCCGAGCACCGCCTCCAAGCCTGTCGCTTTCTTCTGCGGCTGCAGCTCCGCCAAAACAGCTGTGAGCTTCAGAAGCGCACCTGCAAGGCCAAGCTCTTGAGTCTCTCCAAAGGCCTCGCCGTCTTCGAGCTCTCCCACTCCCAAGCCATCGTCCAGAGGTGCCGCAGGCAAAGCTGGAGGGACGGCATTCAGAAGGGGTTTGTGCGCGGCCCCTTGACCCAAAGCATCCAAGATCGCCTGCGCAGAAGCTGCATCGACACCGGACTCGACCAACTTGGCTCCGTCCAGCAAAGGTGGCCCCGCAGGTTTCGTAAACTTCGACTTCGGTTTGAGTGCGGAAGGCCGCGAGTACCCTGCAGCTTTGGCCGGCGCAGCCTTTGCCTTGGCAGCTTGCAGCTTCGAAGTCCACCACCCTGAGGCCACTGTTTCTGCTGCTTCTGCGAGAGGAGCACCGAGAAGGGAAACTGGATTCCCAGCAGCGTCCAGGAAGCTGAAAGTAACGGCTCCAGGGTCTGGTAGCTCGTCTTCGCCTAAGAGGCTTTCGATCACTGCAGCTGTGAACACTCCAACGTCGACTTTGAGCCCAACATCCAACGCATCTAACGGACCTGTGACTGGCACCGTCAAACTTGCACGATGCAGCAATGGCCCAGCTTGGGTGCCCTTTCGTCGCCCAAGTGCTTTGACCGGCAACGCCAGCAATGTCATCGGCTCCGAACACTCCTGAGGTGCAAAATCCGATGAGATCACAACCACTTCGACGATCGTTTGGCCCATGTCCAAGTAAAAAGACGGCGAAGGACCCTCGCCCACGAATCTGGCTTCGTTCATCAGTTCCGGATCTTGGAAGGTCACTTGCTGGTCTCCGGCATCCTCTTCCGGACTGGCAAAGTCTGGCTCCATTGCCGACCTCGCCGAAACAGGAGGTAGCTGTCAACAAGAAGATGCCACAGCACAGGATCAGATTAACCAATCCAAGCATACAACCAACTCAATCTTCCGCGGGGAGAAAGAGCGGCCGCCGACGCAGTCGTAACTGCTGAGCAACAGGTCCTCGTTGCGCTCTCTGAGCTTGTTCGGGTTCTCTCGCGAGCAAAGCTTCAGCGATCAGTCGAGTCACTCGCCCCACCAGCGTCTGCAACGAAGGTGAGAGCACGAGAGCTCCAAGGCCAAAGCCGATGAAAATGCCCAAAGAGAAGCAGGAAAAGCAGAGAAGCACAGGATCCTGATTGCTGCAAAGGCGAGGCGATCGCAAAACCTCGGAAATCGCTAACACAACCTGCTGCCACATTGAAGGCTTGAGC